GGCCAAATGGGATGCCCTGCCCAGTGGCACATGCTGGGCCTTGGAACCCAGGTGTCCTGAGCTCCCATTGGGACTGTGCTTCCCCTAGACCTGGATTTAAAATCTCAAGCCTCTGTACTTGTGCTGTAGCTTCGACTGATGAGCAGATGCATTAAACTGGCCCCAGAAGTGACCACTGCTGAGAAATTTCAATGCGAGTAGTGTTGGCCAAGGCAAATCTAGCAGCTCGAATGGAAGTTTCAAAATGTTGTGTCTTCGCCCAGGGAGCCCCAACTTCTACCTTTAACAACCTTGTAGGCATCGAATTTCCCTGCTTTTCCTGGTCTTTGTCTAAACGAAAAAGAATAAAGGTCCTTACGGCAGTTTGTCTCTTTGTTGATTTCTAGCCCCAAAATCGCTTGGTGCTCTTTTGCTGCAAACCCTAACGGAGTCGTAAACCATGTGGCGTGTTTGTAGGTGGAGCCTCTGATATCCCAACACTAGATCTTAAACAACAACAAAAAATAATTCCCTAGTTCTTTTGGTCGAAAATGCTGGACACTGGTATCAAACTGCTTGAAATATTTAGAATGAAATTATTATTTTTTATTTTCGTAGCATCTAACAGCTCCAGTTAGGGACACACATATGCTCACATCATGTTTTCCTTTCTTTGAAACACGTTTTTAAGACAACGACACGGTTTCAGACACCAGCGTGGTCTTCCTTACGGTGCCTAAATTGTCATACCCATCTTTTATTTTTCAGATAGGCATTTCCTTGCGGCGGAACAAAGCTGTCTCAAAAGACTTGAGATGCATTAAACAATTTGAAATATTTCAACAGTTTGAAATCCTCACAAACCTTGAATTGCTCTGACTTTAAAAAAAAAAAAAAAAGTAATCTATGTAGCCATCAACATTTTTCACAGGAACGTGTGGCTTTCGATGGGAAAAGTCAAATAATTTTCATTTCACAGAAGATTCAGAATATGACTTAACATTGCGTAACATTTGTAAGACGCCTCAAATATTTTAAATAGAGAGGCAGGGTAAACATTTTAAACAAGCATTGAAGCTTGCATTGATATGATATGGAGCAGTGTTTCTCAACCTTTTTTTATAAAGTGCCCCTTAAAAAAAAAATACCCCCAGTACCTGCAGTTTTCAGACTCACACATTTTTTTTCTACTGTTGCAACACATTTGTTTAAACCACTTAATCGTAGCCGGGCGGGTGGTGACATTTTTGGGTGTAAAAAGTACAAAAATAATAAAACGCTGTAAAACTTAAAACAAAAATTCAGTTTCCAAATTTCAGTTATGTGGATGTACTCCCCAGACTTCTCTCAAGTACCCCTAAGGGTACTTGTACCGGTTGAGAAACACTGATACAGAGGATATTTATGATGTTGGCTATTTTAATAGATTATTGAAAGCCAGAAGCAAACAAACAGAAACATTCGGAGGGTCCCAGACAGACAGAAGCGAAGAGTGAGGGGGGATTTGGTAGCAGCCTTCAAATCCCTGAAGGGGATGGTTTGATGTAATAACATGATCTTGGTAACTAATTGATCATTCATTATAGGTCAATGGAGGGATGATAGGAGTTACTATAGAGAACTTTCTGGGTGTCTGGCTGGTAAGTCTTGCCCACATGCTCAGGGTTTAGCTGATCGCCATATTTGGGGTCGGGAAGGAATTTTCCTCCAGGGTAGATTGGCAGAGGCCCTGGGAGCATGGGGCACAGATCACAGCTGGAGGATTCTCTGCATCTTGGGGTCTTCAAAGTATTTGAAGGCTTCAATATCTGAGATATAGGTGAGTGGATTATTCTGGGAGGGGTGGGTGAGATTCTGTGGCCTGCACGGTGCAGGGGGTCAGACTAGATGATCATAATGGTCCCTTCTGACCTTAAAGTCTATGAGTCTATGGAGAGGCTGTTCTCAGGGGTGGCTGGTGGCAGAACAAGGAGCAATGGGCTCAGGTTGCAGTGGGGGAGGTCTAGGTTGTATATTAGGACAAATGATTTCCTAATATCCAACCCAGACCTCCCCCACTGCAACCTGAGATCACTGTGGGTGGGAAGCCCTGGGCTGGGTTCCCTGGGGAGGGGTGGAATCTCCATCCCTAGGGGTGTTTAAGTCCCAGCTGGACAAAGCCCTGGCTGGGATGTTTGAGTCCGGTTGGTCCTGCTCTGGGCAGGGGGCTGCTCTCGATGCTTCTTGAGGTCTCTGCGGCCCCGGGATTTCATGGCTCCATGAGCTGTCTCGACAACGGGGGAGCGAGAGAAGCCCCTTGCAAAGGCCCGTCCCTGGCTAGACCTCGGCTGTGGGCCCCGGGGCCGGTGGCTTCACCGGTGCCTGCAGGGAACTGTGTTGTGGGAGCGCCAAGGGACTCGCCAATGCAGGGGAGAGTGTGTGTGTTCCTGCTGCCCCCTGCTGGAGGGGACAAGCCCTTCTGGGTGCGTTCTGCACCCCCTGCTGGAGGGGCTGTGTGTGTCTGTCTGTCCGTCCCCAGGCTCCCACAGACCTGAGCAAGGACTCTTCCACCTTCCTCTTATTACTCCAGAAAAAAAAATGGCAACCCCCTCCCCCGTCCCCGAGATTAAAGGGCCTGTTCTCAGAGCTGCCTGTCTGGTGAGGGATCCCCCAGCCCCACACCACCCTCAAGTGTGCAACAATGGGCATCCTCACAACCTGCCCCATCCCTTCCCACACATCCCACCCCCTTTCTCCTCACAACCTGCCCCATCCCTTCCCACACATCCCACCCCCTTTCTCCTCACAACCTGCCCCATCCCTTCCCACACATCCCACCCCCTTTCTCCTCACAACCTGCCCCATCCCTTCCCACACATCCCACCCCCTTTCTCCTCACAACCTGCCCCATCCCTTCCCACACATCCCACCCCCTTTCTCCTCACAACCTGCCCCATCCCTTCCCACACATCCCACCCCCTTTCTCCTCACAACCTGCCCCATCCCTTCCCACACATCCCACCCCCTTTCTCCTCACAACCTGCCCCATCCCTTCCCACACATCCCACCCCCTTTCTCCTCACAACCTGCCCCATCCCTTCCCACACATCCCACCCCCTTTCTCCTCACAACCTGCCCCATCCCTTCCCACACATCCCACCCCCTTTCTCCTCACAACCTGCCCCATCCCTTCCCACACATCCCACCCCCTTTCTCCTCACAACCTGCCCCATCCCTTCCCACACATCCCACCCCCTTTCTCCTCACAACCTGCCCCATCCCTTCCCACACATCCCACCCCCTTTCTCCTCACAACCTGCCCCATCCCTTCCCACACATCCCACCCCCTTTCTCCTCACAACCTGCCCCATCCCTTCCCACACATCCCACCCCCTTTCTCCTCACAACCTGCCCCATCCCTTCCCACACATCCCACCCCCTTTCTCCTCACAACCTGCCCCATCCCTTCCCACACATCCCACCCCCTTTCTCCTCACAACCTGCCCCATCCCTTCCCACACATCCCACCCCCTTTCTCCTCACAACCTGCCCCATCCCTTCCCACACATCCCACCCCCTTTCTCCTCACAACCTGCCCCATCCCTTCCCACACATCCCACCCCCTTTCTCCTCACAACCTGCCCCATCCCTTCCCACACATCCCACCCCCTTTCTCCTCACAACCTGCCCCATCCCTTCCCACACATCCCACCCCCTTTCTCCTCACAACCTGCCCCATCCCTTCCCACACATCCCACCCCCTTTCTCCTCACAACCTGCCCCATCCCTTCCCACACATCCCACCCCCTTTCTCCTCACAACCTGCCCCATCCCTTCCCACACATCCCACCCCCTTTCTCCTCACAACCTGCCCCATCCCTTCCCACACATCCCACCCCCTTTCTCCTCACAACCTGCCCCATCCCTTCCCACACATCCCACCCCCTTTCTCCTCACAACCTGCCCCATCCCTTCCCACACATCCCACCCCCTTTCTCCTCACAACCTGCCCCATCCCTTCCCACACATCCCACCCCCTTTCTCCTCACAACCTGCCCCATCCCTTCCCACACATCCCACCCCCTTTCTCCTCACAACCTGCCCCATCCCTTCCCACACATCCCACCCCCTTTCTCCTCACAACCTGCCCCATCCCTTCCCACACATCCCACCCCCTTTCTCCTCACAACCTGCCCCATCCCTTCCCACACATCCCACCCCCTTTCTCCTCACAACCTGCCCCATCCCTTCCCACACATCCCACCCCCTTTCTCCTCACAACCTGCCCCATCCCTTCCCACACATCCCACCCCCTTTCTCCTCACAACCTGCCCCATCCCTTCCCACACATCCCACCCCCTTTCTCCTCACAACCTGCCCCATCCCTTCCCACACATCCCACCCCCTTTCTCCTCACAACCTGCCCCATCCCTTCCCACACATCCCACCCCCTTTCTCCTCACAACCTGCCCCATCCCTCCACACACATCCCACCCCCTCCCTCCTCACAGCCTGCCTCCTGCCCCCCCACACATCCCACCCC